CACAGCACCACTTCCAGCTTTTTCTGCTTATGTGGTGCTGAGGAATCAAACCCAGGGCCTCATGCATGCAAGGCAAGCACTCTACCACTGAGCCACGTTCCCAGCCCATTCCTTTCATTCTTATGACATGTTGCTACGTAATGCTATTGTTGCTTTTGGCTGTGGTGGAATAGTGGTAGGATCTTTTGTTTGTTTGTTTTTGTTTGTCGTGGGTCTTGAACTCTGGGCCTGGGCACTGTCCCTCAGCTCTTCAGCTCAAGGCTAGCGTACTTGAGCCACAGTGCCACTTCTGGTTTTCTGAGTTGTTTATTGGAGATAAGAGTCTCATGGACGTTCCTGCCCGGGCTGGCTTTGAACCGAGATCCTCAGATCTGAACCTCCTGAGTAGCTAGGATTACAGGCGTGAGCCACCTGCACCTGGCTGTTTTGGTTTTTTGATGGGGTTGGTGTTTTTAGCGTTCACATTTTTTGTGTCTTTTCCTTTTAGGTATATCTTTGGTAAGTTGTGCATAATTAGTCTTTTAGGAAAGGGTAATTATCTATTACTGCCTTTTAATTGGGTCATTCAGCCCAGTTGATGTCATGACTGATATGCAAAGCAAAACTATTGGTATTACTAGGAAATCACCGTGAGTAAGGATGCCAGTAATTAGCATTCTCCTACCCGGGCAGTTGTCCTCCATTCTGGTCCTTCCGCAGACCTTTCCTGTGCCATTGCAAACCTCGATGGCTTCAAGCTCTTTGCTCTGCCGATGGATTTCCAGTGGGCAGAGGGGCCTCACACAGCCTGGGTCTGATGAAATATAAGATTACCAAGTGCCTGTTGAATGCTTTGTGATGTTACTAGGCAATAGACATAAAGTCCCTTAAGTTATGCAAACTTGGAGCGCCATCTTCCTTCCAGGCTGCTTGGAGGGCATTGCAGGGTCTGCACATCGGCCACAGCCTCTCTGGGCATGGGTGCACTACTCTGTGCAACAACTCCCTTCCACCAGTTCCTAGGGGGAGATGCTGGGGAATGAAGCAAGTGACAGAAAAGTTTGGCCGCCGTCCCTCTGCCCCATGCTCACCACCCTCCAAGGGGAGCTAGGTGCTTCCTCCTCCTTCCCAGCAGGAGTCCTCCCACAGAACCAGATCAAATCTCACTGCTGTGTTGAGCATGATTCCCTTCTTCACCTCGCCCCCCATTCGACCCTGAGTTTCAGGATTGCCCTGCTCTAAGCTCTGTCTGAGTACAGTTTACTCCTTTCTCTTAGAGGTTGAAGTAGTCTGACTGCCTACATTTTTTTCCTCTCATGCCCTCATCTGAGCTTGTCTTTTCCTAAAGCCAGGGGAGATGGTCCACCAGGACACAGGGAAGACACAGGAAGGTGTCTGCAATTTGCCCTCCCTCCTTAGATATTTCCTTCTCTCCCTTTATCCCCTTCCCTTCTCTCCCTCCTCTCCCTCCCGCCCTCCAAGATCCAGACCTGAACTTGGTATCTGATGCTTTCGCTTATTGGCTACTACTTGACCAACTGAGCCACACATCCACGTCTAACCCCCTCTCTTGACGTTTCCTTACTTTGCTTTTGTTTTTGTTTTGAGACACGGTCTCTTTAAATAGCCCAGGCTGGCTTTGCCTCAGTTTCCCAGTGCTGGGACTACAGGCACACTTCATGGTTCTTATTTTCTTTAAACCTCACAAATCACATCATTATTTTTATTTTTTGTCAGTTTTGGGGCCTGATCTCTGGGCCTGGGCGCTGTTCCTGTGCTCTTCAGCTCAAGGTGAGCACTCTACCACGGGAGCCACAGTGCCACTTCTGGTTTTCTAGTGGTTGATTGGCGATAAGTGTCTTACGGCTTTTCCTGCCCGGGCTGGCTTTGAACTGTGATCCTCAAATCTCAGCCTGGTGAGTAGCTAGGATTATAGGTGTCGCGACCGCCTCGACCCGCAAGGATGACGCGACAACAGATCCTTCTTTCAGACGGTTTATTCAGGACCTTGTTTACAGCTTCTTTTCTCCTACTTCTCTCCTGCCCGCTTCTTCCTGCTTCTCCTGCTTCTCCTTGTTTCTCCTTCCCATCCGCCCCCACGCTCCGGTTATAAGCCTCCTGGATGGCCAATCCTGAAGCGCCATGTGGCATATACTGATAGGGCTGCAAACACGGAAGCAAACTAGGAGCCAGGTCATAGCCATATAAGGAGTTGTTTTTTACAGAGAGCACTCGTCACGAGGAAGACGGAAGGCGGGAGCCCGCGCCATCTTAGGTCGCAGCCACACCACGCGGCCCTGCCATTTTTGCTTTTGCAGCCTCTTTGGTCGCGGCTCCGGCAGCTCTCCACAATAGGCTTGAGCCATCCTTGCCCAGCACATCTTTATTCTTTAAGACAGGAAACTTGGTTAGGTTTCACATGTTTCTTCTTCCGTTAATTCTTGTATCCTTCCTGGGTCTGTTTCCACATGGGATTTTATGTCCAGAGAATGCCCCCCACCTATTAGAATTTTCCTTTTGCGTAGAACTGATGGTGACAGGGGCTAGGAAGATGGCTCAGTGGTAGAGCGCTTGCCTTGCCTGCATGAGGCCCTGGGTTCGATTCCTCAGCACCACATAAGCAAAAAGAAAAAAGCCAGAAGTGGCACTGTGGCTCAAGTGGTAGAGTGCTAGCCTTGAGCTGAAGAGCTGAAGGACAGCGCCCAGGCCCAGAGTTTAGGCCCCACAACCGGACCCCCCAAAAAATATTTTTCCACATGTTCACTTCCACATTTCTTTAAATTTCAGATAGCCTCATTATTTCCCATGTATGTGGTCGGATACATTGAGCCAAGCAAATTCCAGAAGATCATTTATATGAACATGGTAATGTTTTAAAAAAATTATAAGTGACATGTTAGAATAAGTTCTCAGAGTCTGTCAAACACAACTAACTATTTTCCGGGGCAATTTCTGGGATGGTAGCAATGACATGGTTGTGACAGTGTTCAGAAAGGAAAGTGGACACACACAATTTGCACGTTATACTTTCAATGGTGCTGCTGGTGTATTGTACTCCTTAAAGCCTTAATGTGTTTTTATTTCTGTATCCTATTATTGTCACTGGTTTTGAAACTGCCTTTCTCCCTTACTGTCAGAGATTTTTTTAAAAACACTTTTGCATGAGTGTGACACTATGCAACTAAAATAGTGTTGCTTCTTTTTTGGGTTTTAGTCAAAGTGAAGTTAGACAAGCTCATATTTGTAACTAAGTCCTTCTCGTGTTATTCCATCATTGAAACTACAGAAATAACAGAGTTTGAGAAAAATCTTCCTTTATTTTTTTGCAAGTTAACAGATGGGGAGGGAAGGGCGAATTCTACTCTGTAGAATGAATGATCTTGAACTTTAATAGCTGGCAGTGAGTTAGAGTTCTATGATGTACATTCGTCTTCTCTGACACCTGTGTGTTGAGATACAGCTTCATCCTCCTTGCATGTGCTGTATGGGCACGTCGCAATTACTGAGCATGTCTTTGTATTTCCTTTCTCAGGTTTCAGTTGTCCTCTGCTTCATTTTGATGTTTGGAAATCCAATGTACTTAACTTCATATTATTCCTCATCTCTGCTGATGACGTGGGTGAGTGCATGTTGAACTCAGGAAGTGTCCCCTGTAAACCTGTCCAGTAGCAGGTTTATCTGCCTGATGGAAGTGTAGAAGCATAAATACGAACCTTCTTCTGGTTATCGTTCGTGTGAAACCCTTCCCAAAACACGGCTTTCTCTCTGCCTCGCCACTGAAAAATAGCATAATATAGTTCAAAACTATCGTAGTTAATATTTTAAAAAATAATCAGGAGGAAATTCGACTTACCTGAAAAAAACAACGTACTATAATCACGACTTATTTTCTTGTAAACCACTCTTGTGGGCTATTTAGCTAATCCTGGTGACACAACTATTGTCCTAAACATTTTTGTCACTTTTCAAATCCCTTCCTAGACTTTGGTCCTTTTAATGTCTTCCCCCTGTGGGAGCTTCGTCTCTCAAGTTTGGATTTGATCTTTGGGAAATGAGCAAATGCTTATAAAATAAAATAGATGACAGGGCTGGGCAATCCAGATCTTGATCAAAACATGCGACATTGCCAAAGGATTGATTTCCTGGCACCTGGGCCTGAATGGTCTCTGGTTGCCATTTCCAAAGTGCATTTCCAAACTGCTTCCAGCAGTGCTAGATTAATGAGAGCGAGTGCAACACTTCTGTACCTTCCTCTCACCAATGACACTCACCTGGCCAGGTGACTCACCTTAGTCATGTGGTGACTGAGCCAGGCTGACAACTGCTCCTCACACCCTAGATTCTGCACTAGATCCCCGTGGTGAGAGGTGCTGCCACCTGCTGGCCGCCAGTGGACTCACTAGGTGCTACTCAGGTTATGACATGGTTGTTTCCTCCTCTTCCTTTTTAATCCAACAATGATGACCCTCTTCACCTTCCCTCTCACACACAACAGAAACCTCACGCATGTTCGTCTCCATGCTGTGTTCGTTTCCATACCGTGTCACTTTCAGAGTGACAAGGTGGGACCCCTACCTTCTCTGGCTTCTCAGAGAAGTTATCTGGGTAACATGCCCAGTGTGACTCGGAAGGTACTGAATGAAGTAAGAGGTGACGTTTTCATACACCACGCATTTAGCTCTCACTTCCAAGAAACTCACCATGGCCCAAATTTGACAAGTTCACCAATGAAGGATGAAAATGGCTGGAGTTTGTATGGAAGGGTATGGCTCTGTAATTTTTATCATACAGTGATTTCATGTCATAATATGTGTTAATTTTGTTTTTTTAAAATGTATTTCAGGCAATTATACTAAAGAGAAGCAAAATTCAAAGGATGGGAGTGTCTGAACTCAACTTTTGGGTGAGGTTCAGCATATTTAACACAGTACTTTATTAACAAGTGTTAATTAAAACATTTCCATGCACGCACATAATGTACCTAGATGGTACACACCCCTCCTAGCCTCTGTCTTATCCCCTTCCCTTCCCTTCCTCTCCCACATCCTTAGTGCTCCTCATGCTTTCATGTACTTTTCCCTCTAAATTCCATAACTATGAGAGAACAGTGATTCTTGTCTTTAGAAGACATTCTTCTTCATTTGTTTTGATCTCTCCTCTCTTCCCCTCCTCTTCCCTCCCCTCTCCTCCTCTTTTTTCTCTATCTTTCTCTTTTTTGCTTTTTTTCTTTCTTCCTTCCTTCCTTTCTTTCTTTCTTTCTTTCTTTCTTTCATTCGTTCTTTCTCTTTTTCTGTATATTTTCTCTCCCTTTCTTTCTGTACCATGGGGTTGAACTCAAGGCCTCACACACTCTAGGCAAGTCCCCTACCACTTGTGTCATTCCCCCAAGTTCTTTTGCTTTTAGATTTTTGGAAAGAGTCTCACATCCTCCTCCTATGGGAGCCTCCAGATTAGCTGAGATCACAGACCTCCACCATCAGGCCCCAAAGCTTTTGTTTGATGATAGCTCTTCTGAATGGTATGAGACAGAATCTCAGTGTGGTTTTGATCTGCATGTCCCTGATGGCTAAAGATGGTGAACATTTTTTTCATGTGTTTATTTTCTGGTTTTGCTTCTTCTTTTGAGAACTATCCATTTAGTTCATTTGCTCATTCATCAAGTGGATTGTTGATTCTTTTGGTGTTTGAGTTTTTGGGGTTCTTTATATAGTCTAGAAATTATCCCTCTCTTGGATGTATATTAGGTACAGATTTATTTCCCAGTTCTGCAGCACCATTTGTTGAAGAGGCTGCCTTATATTCCAGTGTATATTTTTGTCTCTCTTGGCAAGAATCAGACAGCTGTAGCTGTCTGGGCTTGTTTCTGGTGTTTAATTCTATCCCACTGGTCTACAAGTCAGTGTCTGTGTCAGTACCGTTTTGCCTTTGCTTTGCTCTTTCTGGAGATGCATCCAGCATTGGGCCTCAGGATTGCTTTGGCTTTTGGGGTTTTCATAATGTACACACTGGCAGCCACTAAGGCCATCTGTTCATGGACGTCTATGCAGTGGCCCCAGTGGGGATGGATGGATCGTCAGGCTCACTGACATTAAGGCAGCCAAGATAATCTCTCTGCTTCACAACTCTGGTGTTCCCACCCTCCAACGAATGACAGGAGGATGGGGAAGTAGCTTCTTCCATGGACAGCCAAGGTGAGGACCGAGAAGAAGCCATCAGGTAAATTCAACTGACCAGAATGGCATGACGCTGATCCTGAAGACTAAATTGTCATCGTCACAACCATACTGAAAAGAAGGCTAGGATTGCTCCACCAAACAATGAGGGGACCCTCTGCTGGACTAGAACCCATAGCCTCTACTCCAATACCCAGAATGAACCGGGCTCAAATGAAAACCACTGGTCATAATAAGGGTGAGGAAAATAAGTTAAACAAGGAAAGGTGATTGACAGATGTCAACAGTGAGATGAATAAAATAGTGGTATTTTTTGAAGGCTACAGTCTTTTCACTAATTCCTTAAATCATATATAATTTATGGAATATGATGTGATAATTCAAGACATGCATACAGTGTTATCAAGGTAGTTAGCATTGTTTGATTAGCGTGTACTTGTATGAATTTCTGGGGTAGAATGAACTTTCAGTATGTGTATATAGTATATGCCGATCAAATCCAGATAATCAACATTTTTATCTCTGTACTACTTTGTGCTTTATTCAGCTTTTGTTTCTGCACAAGAGATCTCTTCTGCTTTCTGAGCTTCTCTCTCTCCCTCTCCCTCTCTATATGTCTGTCTGTCTCTCTTTCTCTCTCTCCAGTCAGAGATTATCTTTTGACATTGTTTGCATCTCACTTTTGTTTCTCACTGCCCCTGCTGGATGCCTAACTTCCCCTTGCAGCCTCCTCTGCCATTTACTAGGTCTTGGCCAGGGGGCACTATTCTGTCTCTCCTCCCTCTTTTCTTTCTAGGAAGAATGCTTTCCTGAGCTTCATGTCTTTTATCCACGCCATTTTTAACTCAAGGCGCTGGAAAGTCCATTCCCAGTCACCCAAGGCTTCAGAGAAAGTTCAGTGTTGAGTCAATCACTCCCTTCTCTTTGTGCTGTGGCGGTCTCCCTTCATTCTCCAGAAAGGCTTAGATGAGGAACTTGCTCTCCTTGTTTTCTACTTGCAGCAACTGTGAAGTTCATAGTTGTCTGTCTTCTGCTTCTGCTAGTGTAGTCGGGTGACATGTGTGGGGCTTTGATTTTAGATGGCTGCCATTTTCCCAAGGCTTTCCAGGAGTCTATGTGTGCTTAAGGCCAGGGGAGTCAAAACATGAACAACCACAAACACATGAGCACCTCCTTGTCAGTTTTAGTGCGTAATTCTCTTTTAGGAAAGAGAAAATTCTCTTTTGTAAAGAAGAGTTTTGGAAATGGAGGTGTGACTCAAGTGGTAGAGACATGAGCTTACATGACAGTGCCCAGGCTCAGCGTTGAAGCCCCAGTACTAGCCCATGCACAAGTGCGTGAGCGCATGCATGTGCGCACGTGTGTGCACACACATTCACACACACATACACACACGACAAAATTTTCAAATTATTTTTCTATTCTTAAAGAGGGACTCATGAATTGTATTTCTACAAAAGTAGAAAATAAATAAATATATAAACATATAATCCCTATCCATTGCAGATTGAAAAGAAATAACTTTCTACAATGTCCTTTGGACTCTATAATATATAGGCTCTCCTGTTATGCATTTTATAGCAGGGTTATCAATTTCACTTATTTCCTGAACAACAGAACTTTCTACAGCAGCATCCTTTCCTCTGAGCCCAGCATCCGTACTTAACACCGCTTGTAGGAGTAAACTCCATATCATGTTATGTACCACTGAACATTTTAGTTGTTTACTGTCATTTTTAACTCTGGGCTTCTGTTTTGTTTTCTAGCTTGTTCAAGGCGGCTGTTGGTGGTGTGGAACCATCATTCTGAAATTTCTGACATCTAAAGTCTTTGGTGTCTCAGACCATGTAAGTTCTTCCCAGTTACACAAAAAGCTGCCAAAAGCATGGATTAAAAAAATCTCAAAAATGCTCATCTCTTCATTCAACAGAGGTTTCCATTTCTTTGTTGTGGTGGTGGTTGTTTTTGTTTCTTCCTGGTGGTACCTGGACTTTGAACTCAGAGCCTCATGACTCAGCATTTACTGGTGATTTCTAGAAGGAGATTGAGCCTCCCCCCCTGGTGTGCAGTGAGCTGCAATCCACCTGCTTGAGGTTTCCTGCCCACCTGGTTACAAGCATGGGCCAATGCATTCAGCTTACCCTCTATAGAGACAGAATCTTAGGGACTTTTCTGCCTCAAGTCTCAATCTTCCTCTTCTCAGCCTCCTAATTAGCTAAGATTATAAATTGGAGACACTAGTGTCTGGCTAGAGGCTTCCATTTCTTCAAGGTCCCAAGCTAGTTAGTGATCATGATAAAACCTGAAGTGATGTTTTCACCTCTAGAATGAAAGTGTCCATGAACGCTTGATATTTGAGGGGAAGAAAATATTATTCCTAGTGTTTTCTTTAGTACTTAATGTTTCAAGTAAATTACAGTCATTTGTTTCAATGATAATTTCTCAATTTACTGTGGATATTAACATATTAGCACTTCATACTCAGCTTTCAAATAAAAACACTTAAACATCTCAATATCATTCTATTTACTTATAATTGTAGACTAAAATTAAGGTGTGATTTGATATTTGGAAGACTTACTATATAAGAAGAAAATATTAGAAGTCTCTGTTCTCACTTCCTAGAAAACATGTGGCTTTCTGTTTGTTTTATGCTAATGTCTTATACAGTGGCTGTGGGCAAGGCCGAACTTCTTACTTAATTAACTAGCTGGGGATGAAAAGCACTGCATGAATTTACATTTGGTTCTAGCATTTTATGTTGAAATATAGGCATTTGTGGGTATATTGTACAATAATGTAGTAAGAAGTTTACTAAATAGTGCCATCCAGTCACAGCTTTGTCTAATACAGAAACGGTCAACTTTATCACAGGATTATAGGATGCCCTCAGCAACATCAAGCGGTGGCCTTTCCAACAAAAATGTAGGGTACTGGTGGCTCACACCTGTAATCCTAGATACTCAGGAGGCTGAGATCTGAGGATTATGGTTCAAAGCCAGCCAGTCAGGAAAAAGTGCATGGAGCTCTTATCTCCAATTAGCCACCAGAAAAATGGAAGTGACACTGTGGCTCAAAGTGGTAGAGTGCTAGCCTTGAGTGAAAAACCTCAGGGACAACACCCAGGCCTTGAGTTCAAGCCCCATGATGGACAATTTTTTTTTTTTAATGTAGGCAGGTTCACTTCAATCTCAGCTCCCATTTGCTATTTATTGCTAGCTAAGAGTGACTAGTGGCTTGTTGTGCTGAGTGTATTCATTGTTGTTGGCTAGTATGCTGGATCCATTTTTCTTCCTTTCTTAGTATTCTTACCTTTTACTTTTGTACACTATGAGAAACCATTTTTCAGATCTTCTAAGTTATTTATTTATCCACGGAGTTGGTCTGTGATTTTGTGGTTTTGCTTCCTGAATTGGTCAATATTGTCACCCAACTCTTTACAAATTTAAAATAATAGTTTACTTGCCAAGTATCTTGGGCAGGGGGTGGGGCGGGTGTGGAGGGAGTCTAGCTCTCTGAAAATACAATGGAAATAATTATCTCCCTGACAGCAGGCAGTAAGAAAATAGAAGTAGAAAAATGGATTGTCCACTTTGAGTGTGGCTAGTGGTGTGAATTTTTCAGGCCATGAAGATAAATAAGGGCAGCTGGGTTATTGTGTGCCATTGTGTCCTTAAATGTGTGTCTGAGATGTGGCCAGAAGAAAGGCAGTCAGCACAGGAGTCTTCCTGGACCTGATGATATGGGCAAAGTTTGGGTATGATTTGCAGTGTGTGATGGGAGGTGAGACAGAATGGGCTGGCTTCCAGGAGGAGAATGATCCAGTGATGAAATCTTCATGATGAAATACCATTCATTTCACTCCAGCCAGCATCTACTCTGGTTTTATCTCATTTTCTCTGCTTAGTTTTCCAGCCTGCTTTTGCTGTTTTTTTTTCTTTTGGTGTTTCTCTTCATTTTTTTTTGTTTGTTTTTTATGTCAGCTCGAGAAAATCTGGTTCGCTGCATGTTGGTTTGCTTTTGAGACATGTCTGTGTAACTTTGGGTTGACCTATTGTGTTTTTTACTCTGACAGCAAATTAGTTCTCACTGATCACAGTCATAGCTGCAACCTGAATTATTTTTCTTCCTTTACATCCAGATTCGCCTGAGCGACCTGATAGCTGCCAGAATCTTAAGGTACACAGACTTTGACACCTTGATCTACACCTGCGCTCCTGAGTTTGACTTCATGGAACGGGCGGTATGGATGTTTGTGTTCTTTGGTGTGATTTTTCCTTCTTCTTCTGCAGCTGTGATGAGGTTGTGTGCCTTCCTTTTACTTTAAACATGAACCCTCTTGTTTTTAAACAGAAATACCAAACTTGTTTCTTATTTCATTTTTTTATTTTTATTTATTTATTTATTTATTTATTTATTTTTGGGTCTGGTTGTGGGGCCTGAACTCTGGGCCTGGGCACTGTCCCTCAGCTCTTCAGCTCAAGGCTAGCGCTCTACCACTGGAGCCACAGCGCCACTTCTGGCTTTTTTTCTTTTTGCTTATGTGGTGCTGAGGAATCGAACCCAGGACCTCATGCATGCAAGGCAAGCGCTCTACCACTGAACCACCTTCCCAGCCCCTTATTTCGTTTTTTAAAAAATCATAACATGCTTGCCTCCTTTCCCTGCTTTATCGGCAAAATCAGTAACTGTTAGCCCCTGAGGTTCCTACCTTAAACTATCCCAGCTGATGGTTAAAGCAAACAACAGGAAACAGAAAACATGGCTGGCACGCTGGACAACAACCCAGATACTCGCTGCAGGACAGAACAGCTGTGAGCATCTTCCAGGCCTCGTTCAAGAAAAGCAAAATCCAAATTCTTAGTTCCATTTTAAAGACATTCAGTCTTATTGCAGTGAATAGGTTTCCCAGGGCATTACCAAGCAAGGTATATTGGTACTGAGTCCTAGTGAATACATGGAGCTTGACTTTCGTCATCCTTTAAAAAATGCTCAAGTCGTGAGCCGCCGGGTCTTGCCCTCCCTTAGGAAGGATCATGAGATGGAGAACAGGAAGAGATTTCTGTGATCACTGAAGGTAATTTGTTCGTTTGCAGAGGAATTGAAACAAAGCTTCAAAGATTTGCCTCAGAACACCCGGAGACCAGTGACTCATAGCACTCTTCCTCCAGGGCTCCAATCTCCATCCAAGACTTTAGACTGTCCTTCATAGAAAGTGAGAAAGTGGTCAGTGGCCCAGGCCTACTCAGACACTAATGTAATAGTGAAAGTTTGCCTGTTCTTCTTATTCATCCATCCCACCATTCAGTCATTCTGTCCTTTATTTGTTTGGAAAGTAAACTAGACCAGAAATTACCTGTCACTGAAAATGGTTTGCTCTTGCTATTTAAGGGACGGATAATTTATTGACATAGCAAATCTCTCCCTGCCCCAATAGTTGATGTGAGGATTCTTTTATCTGATAGTACTGATTACATAGTGGTACTTTCACTTATTATTCTGGCTCACTTCCTTCCTCCCTGGCCCTGCTTTTACTCATGAATAGAATGCAATGTTTTAACACAGAAAATGACCATGTGGGCCTCACGGGTTAGTAGAAACGATACTTGTTAAAATGATGTAGTATTATAAAACTAAAGACATAGTTAAAAATAATGGACACAGCTAACTTTAGGCTTCTAGTTTTTATTATTGAATTTTAAAAGTTCATTTTGTAATTTTTAAAAATATTTAGATTGTGGAAATTAAGGAATCCATAGTCTGCTAAGAATATCAAAGTGGTGTTCACCAGGGATGGCTTGTCCTCATGCAGTGCACAGATCAGTAATGGCTCTTGTGAATAACTTGCTGTATTTCAGACTCCCCTGAGGTACACGAAGACATTACTGCTCCCAATTATTTTGGTGGTTACCTACTTTATCTTAAAAAAGGTATTTAAATTGTTATCAGTTGCTTTGGGGATTAAGATAAAGATTGTAACACTTTCTGATTGCTCAGCATTCCCTTTTATTTTTAGGATGCAGAGTTTATCTGAAAAATTTCATCTACTCTACCTTTATCATCTACTATTATCCTTGTTCTATAGAAAGGACCATTATTAAAAGAGCTTGCATTTACTATTTCAAAGGATTTAGTCAGTCATCCACTAGATACGAAATTCACTTGTAGGTTTTCTAGACAAATAAAACGTGTACACTTCTGTCTTGGACAATCCTGGGGGACCCAGATGTGCAAACACCAAGCAACCACCCCCAAAACAAGAATTCCGATGGTGGCAGTTGAAAGGACAGGCAGAAGAGCAGAGGGACAACATTAGCAATTTCCAATATGAAACACAGTCAAAGAGGCCATGATCTATTTAGCTTAGATGGGGAATTTGTACAGCTATTAACATTTCTTTCTACACAACCACTTGTTTTTACAGAAGAAAAAAACCAATATCAAGCAATGATCTTTAACATTTTAGTGTCATATTTTCTTGGTCTGAGAGTTATTTTCCTAACAGTATATTTAAGTTGGGTTACCTAGAGAAAGACAGAAGGAAGGAAGGGAGGGAGGAAGGAAGGAAGGAAGGAAGAAAGAAAGGAAGGGAAGAGAGGAGAGTCTATCATGTTAAATTCTCCTTGAGACCTCATGCTAACATTTAAAAAGTGTCTGTCTAATGTGAGGTGTTTGTATTACATTAATAAGATCATTTAAAATAGCAGCATTCCTTAAAAGTGCTTCATGCTGTAATTCTGTTTGCAGACTGTCCGTGACGTCTTGTGGGTCTTATCAGCAAACAGTTACCAAAGGTAATTATACTACATAGTTTTAAAAATATATCACTAATCATTCAATAACCTATGGAAATATTAAATTTTCAAACGAGTGTACATTGAACTTCAATATTGTGATTACAATAGAAGATAGGAACCCAATTTAGATGTTTCTCTTTTAAAACAAGACTGTTTTTCACATGTATCCTTTATGTATTTAAACTTTTAGAGACCCTCACATTTGTGAAATAGCTCAAAGTTTGGCTGATAAAATAAGATGGTTCAGTGGGGTGTGACAGCTTGGTGCTAGTCATAGTAGGCTTGGCACCTGCAAACCCAGCATCTGGGATGCCAGATGTCTTCATGAGATACTGGGAAGGAAGCCCCAGCTCCACATACTATAGTTCTTGAATTCAAATGAGGATGGATGAGGCCCATTTAAGTAACATTTATTAGGAATCATTACAAATTAAAATCAGATTTATTTTATTTTTATTTTGGCCATGCTATTAAAAAAAACTTTCAGAAAAGGGATTATTTGTTTTTCTGAATACTCGTAACATTTTTTCTACATTCATTGTTCAGAACTATTTGTTGCCTTCCATTCTTTTACCCATTTCAGTAAGATGATTAGAATCAAAGCGTAAACTTTCCCCATCAGAATATAGCCTAGTGCAGAGGTAAGTCACCACAGGCCTCGGGAAGTAAGCAATGAAACAGAAACCTCCTCCCCCCCTCCTGTGAAAGCCTCCTCTCAAATCCCACTTTGTATTTGTAGACAGGACATTCGATTTTACAAGTTTCTGATTTAAAGAAAAATTATGAAGATCCTGAGCCTTGTACTTAGGGCTTATATTTTTGAGGCTGTGTGATGACCAGAAAAGCTAATTAGGACATAAGAGCATTCGTGGAAATCACTTCCTGGAATAAAAGTAGTAATAGATTACCCTAAATTGCTCTTGTCAGATCGGGGCCAGGAGAGGTGTTGAGGGTGTGGAGAGGGGACTGAGTGGGGGTGCATGGCATCTGCAGGTATGTGAGAGAGTGAATTCTTCCCTCAGGGGCATGGATGTGAACACGTGTGTGTGAGCATGTGTGAGTGCGTGCGTGCGTGTGTGTGTGTGTGTGTGTGTGTGTGTGTGGTGGGAAGAGGAGTGCTTTCAACCACAAGGAGAATAGGCATTTGCCACAATCATTGAGAGAAAACAGTCCCAGAAGTTGGGGTTGCTTGTAGCCTCCCTGGTATCTGCTGGACAAGGAGCTGATGTTTGTGTCCTTGTGTGTGGTCAGTGGAGAGAACAAGGAGAGAAAGATGATTTTCTTATTATGCCTCACCATGTTACGTTTGCTTGACCATTGTAAACGATCATCTTAGTATTCCGTGTTTACGATCATGGATGACCACCATGCCCTAAACTCTACTAGTATCTCTGGATGCTTCCACTAAGGTAAGCGTTTGTCCCGGTAGCCAGTGCTGTTTAGGGGAGTGAGCCTCCTCCAGTGCTGCGGTCTTTTCACACTGATGGAGTTTCTACTTCACAGAATATGTGCAGTGGGGCTGTGGGTCACAAGGTGTGAGCATGAGGTGTGAACTCAGTGAATGCGGACAGATCATCGGAAGGAGAGGCTGTTGTTCACGTAACGATATGTATTTTCATTTACCTTCAATATGATGCCTGTCAATTTTGTCTTTTAAACGACTACCGCTTTTAGTGGCGCTGTCTGCTCCTAAAGTAGTTTAGTAAGAATCACATTTGGACAATCTAAGAACAGATCAATGAAGTTACATGTGTGCAGACATGTCACAGTGGACATTCAGTAAGGAGAGAATATTTGTGTTTTATTCCAGAAAACAGCTCCTGGAACATGGTGAGGTAAAGTCTCCTCTTACTCTCTTGTAGACTTGATTGTTAAATTTGAGTTCAAGGCTGAATCCTGAACCCAGTTCATATCCATTGTGCTTGGATTGTCCAGCACTGTGGGAGGGGTCATTTTGCTCATCCATCTCCCTACCTTGGGCTCCTACCATTGAGCAGTAATGAGCTCAATGAAAGCCAATTTGGAAAGTGCAGAGACTTTACCATTTGGAAATAGCCCATTTGCTCTTTCATTTCATGTTTTTTAAAAATATATTTTTGTTGTAAAAATACTGTACAGAGGAGTTACAGTTACCTGAGTAAGGTAATGAGTACATTTCCTATTGAGCATTGTTACCTCCTCCTTTGTTTCCCCCCTACCATCCCTTCCCTCCCCTCTTCACCTCTTCCTCCCTCCCCACCCCCTGAAGTTGTAAAGTTCATTTTCAACATAGTGTCTTGTACATCTCATTGTTACAATGGGTCAACCTATATCCTTGTTTTAGTCATCTCGTGTTTTCTTATTGCATTTTTCCCTCTGCCCCATACATGATAACGTGACATTTTTATGTATTTTACAGAGCCAGCATTGTGTATGTATAGTTTTTATATTGGAAAACTTCCCCTGCTACTCAACAATCTCTTAACTTGCAAATTCAATGATCCCATGCTTATGGAAAGCAGTGATTTGTTATTTCCTCCTTGTTTTGGTCACTACATTTTGCCATTAAAAAATATACAACAACAAAGGACAGCCACCCATTTTGTCATATCATTGCTAAATAACTCCATGTTCTGGACCATGTATATGGTAGATATATGCACGCAACAGAGAAAAGCCAGAGATAGGAACAGAATAAGTGGGAACAACCTACACTAAGCAAAAGGAAAGAAATGTAAACATCACCTGATGTGGAAAAATGACTTGTAATGTCAAAGCTCATAGAATTCACAAACTGTATAGACATGATAATGACAATTTGCCTTGTGAAAGTTAAAATGTGTTTGTGACTCTAACTATCACTATTCCACAATACTGTGAACTATGTGAAATTTATGTAATCACCTAATCTCAATTAAAGAAAAAAAGTGAGAGAAGAGATGGGTTAAGAGAGATGGGTGACAATATTGTCAGACACTTTGTACTCATATACTGTTTTGTAGAATGGGAACTTCTTTGTACAACTACTTAAAGATAATTAAAACTATATATATATATAACAGTCACACACACACAAAATATACATTAGTAATTCTGACACACGGTTAGATATTAAATTCCTTATGTTTTGATTATTTTCTTAGTTAAATTCCTAGACTGGAAGCTGAAATGAATTGGCTTTTTGCTAGGCCCTGGGTAAATATTTGAAAATTTCAGAAACATATCAATTTATTATTTTTGTTTTTGTTTTATCTCATCCTAGTGTTTAGCATTAACTTAATATTTGTCAAATTCATAAATGAAAATAATTGATTATCTGTAACATTTGGCTAGGTTGACCATTAGTAATTTAGAGCATTAAAAGAATCTGGCTGCCATGAACTTGTGGTTGCTTTGTTTCCCCACATCCACTGACCATTTCCCCAAGAAGTTGATAGCATAAACATGTCAATTGGAAGTGTTTGTCGGAAACCTTTGCTCAGGAGAACCCCTACCCTGATCAAAACAGGTTATCCTACTAATTAATGCATGTATTTTCTTTATTTTACTACTTAAAAAATAATCAAGCTCATGGGAGTGATGGCACATGCCTGTCATTCAAGCTAGTGAAGGAAGCATGGAATAAGAGGATCGCAGTTCCAGTACAGGTCCAAGCAAAAAACAAGACCCTATGTCAAAATGGCTAGCCCAAAAAAATTAGTGGGGATCTGAATCAAGTGGGTAGAGCACCTGTCAGGAAGCACAAACCCTAGGTCCATAAAAAATAGCAAACAAAAAACCAGGTTTAGCTGGATGCCAGGTGGCTCACGCCTGTAATCCTAGCTACTCAGGAGGCTGAGATCTGAGCATCACAGTTCAAAGCCAGCCAGGGCAGGAAAGTATGTGAGACTCTTATCTCAGAAAACCAGAAGTGATGCTGTGGCAGTAAAGCGCTCTCCTTGAGCTGAAGAGCACAGGGACAGCGCCTAAGCCCAGAGTTCAAGCCCCACAATGGACCAAAAAAACCCAAAACGCTGGTTTAGGTGCCGTTGTGGTTTCTGTTGTTGGCTGAACACACACTTGTGAGGCTTTATGTATTTTCTTGGTCCCTGTGCCTCCTCTCACTCTGTATAAACCCTTGATCAAAGGCCTCTTTCAATGAAGACCTCATTTCCCACCTGCTCCATTCACACCCTTCGCAAGATTTTTGAGCCCTTCACTCCCATCCACTGTATTCTCTGCCATGGACTGTCATTCTGTCTGTCCTCACTAAATACAGTCACAGGCAGGCTTCCCCACAGCAGAAACCACTCAGGTGTTGGCCCTGAAGCACCCAGAACAGAATAAAATAAACTCTGTGTGAGTGAACAAATGAGCAATCTTAGACTTAGGTGAGAAGATTTCCGTCTGATGAATAAGAAGAGTTCTGATGCGCCGTGTGTGTGTTTACTGAGTGAAATGAGTGGGAAGTGATGGCTCTGCTCTGTTGTTTGCAGCTGGTTTTTCACACCTTGCAGCTGTTGGCATTCACAGCCCTGGCCATTCTCATCATGAGGCTGAAGCTCTTCTTGACGCCCCACATGTGTGTGATGGCCTCCCTGATGTGTTCCAAAAGGGTAAGGCACCCTTGCATGGGCCTACCTCACAGTGACAGCCGGGGCGGGTCCCAACCAAACATAAGAACACAGCCGCCTCAGGTTACCGATTCTAAATAATTTCCAAGTGTGTTAATAACTCCCCCTAAAGTGAAGAAAGTGACTTCTGGTGGCTGGAAATGTTAGCCTGGATTGCCACCACCATGTCTAGGACAGGCAGTGATAAGGCTGGCCTCTTCTTTGCTAGCATAGGATGCACAAACAGAGCCTCCTGTCAGCACAGGGGTTCCTGTACAGAGCCCCCAGAGCACCCTAAGCCTACCTCCCACTGAGTGGGATGGCTGCAGTTAACAAAGCTAGGAGGGCTCTGCGTGGCTCAGAGGATCCCTGAGATCAGTTGTGGTCTCCCTTCAGCATCTTCAATGCAAAACATCCAGATAAGTCAGTGAGAATGTTGCCACTTTTAGAAAAACCTTAGTGACGATCCATGATTGGAGTTTTGGCTGAAAAATATTCTAAGATCCTGTTTTCCTGAGAGGAATATACATGTCAAGATGGATTTAAGATGCTCATAAAATGCAGTCAATGTTTTGTGATTTGGTTCAAAACTGTAATTTTGCTAATTTTAACCCATGGTTGGAAATCAGTACTGGAAGATCAAATATTCTGTTCTTAATTCTCTCTCTCTCTCTCTGTCTCTGTCTCTGTCTCTGTCTCTCTCTCTCTCTCTCTCTCTCTTCCCTGAACTTTTTTAGCTTAAGCTTAATGCGCTACCACTTCTGGTTTTTTGGTGTGTAATTGGAGATAAGAGTCACCAACTTTCCTGCCCAGGCTGGCTTTGAACCACAATCCTCCGATCTCAGTCACCTGAGTAGTTAGGCTTACAGGGGTGAGCTGCCAGCACCCCATTTGGCTTTAATTCTTTTGAGAGGAGAGCAAGATCCTGGCACCAGCAGTTTCAACACATGTATTGTTTTGAAGCAAAGGGCAATGATAATTTGGTGTATTTGTGAATCAGTACTGAAGGGTCATCCACTTTGGTTCAGACTGTAAGGGTGGGAATTCCCTCTGGCCCTATAGCAATATTCATGTAAGAATGATAAATAAATGGTTTTTTTCATTTCAGCTCTTTGGCTGGATTTTTTACAGAGTTAATTTTGAGAACATTGTCTTTGGCATTCTAACTGTCATGTCGTTACAAGGCTGCACAAACCTCCATAACCAGTGGAGCATAATAGGAGAATTCACAAATTTGCCCCAGGAAGAACTTATACAATGGATCAAATACAACACCAGGCCAGGTAGGTTAGCTGTGGAGCTCTGTAGAGCTGGCTTTGCACACACAGCTAGCATTCCATACATTTGTGAGTGTGTGTGTGCCTGCATGTGTATGTGAATATGTGAGTGTTTGTGTGTGCATGTGAGTATATGTGTATTTGTATGTATGGGTGTGTATGTGTGCATGCATACACTCACCAACTTATTGACAGTAGTTTGTTGTTGTTGTGGCTTGAATTCAGGGCCTTGCACTTTCTCCTCTGGTATTCTACCACTTAAGCCATGCCTCCATTCCAGCAGTTAGTTGGCTAATTGGAGATGGTGTCTTGCAGAATTTTCTGCCAGGGCTGGCTTCAAACTCTAGTCCACCTTTCTAAGTAGCTTGGATTCCAGATCTGAGCCGCTGGCACTCAGCATCAGCATTTTGACTTTACAATGGTGTAGAAACAACAGACATTCGTGGAAGCTGTGCTTCCAATTTTGAATTGTGATAATTTGCCAGGAACCTGTGATGGCTCTTCTGAGATTCGTGGCAGTGGTGGGCACTTCAGTTCCTGGCCAAGCCCCACCCCCACCCACCCCCATCTCAGAATAGTGGGCTGCCAGGGTGACTTAGTTACCAGGGCAGGATGGTTGGAGGCCACGTTCAGGTCTGAATAATGCACCCATGTTTATGATCAGCTTTATTGAGATGATTAAACTGATTATAATCTCCACAATGACATAAACAGTCACCTTCCAAAAGAGACAAACCAGCACCTGAAACAGGCCGAAAGACCACATGCTTACTTCCAGTTACTCCTGTAGAGTAAATGTTATTATTTCAATGGGCCTCATCTGCCCTAATCTGAATTCAAGCATGGTGGGTGGGTGGAGCTGCGGCTTCCTTTTCATCATCTTAAGAGGACATGGGCCCTTGTTTTCCAGATGCTGTGTTTGCAGGTGCCATGCCCACAATGGCCAGCATCAAGCTGTCCACACTTCACCCCATTGTGAACCACCCTCACTACGAGGACGCAGACCTGAGGTGGGCAGGGGAGGGTGTGGTGGCCCCATACCAGGATGCAGACTGGGGGTGGGCAGGTGTGTGTGTGTGTGGCAGCCTCACCCACTCATTGCTCACCACTGCTTCCTAGGGATGGGGCACTGGTACACCCAAACACATGCAAGCATGCCACATTCCAATCCTCATAGCCATGCTGGGAAAAAATCTCAGTAATCACCCACAAGTGACGATGTGTCCCTGTCCCCTCTGAAGCAGGATTAATAAACCTCTAAAAAGCTGAAAATACCAAAAGCCACTTACATCAATGAAAAGCATTTCATACATGTATATATATGTATATATAAATGTATATATATGCAATATATACACATATATATTGCATATATATATATATATATATATATGTATGCAAGGCAAGTGCTCTACCACTGAGCCACCTTCCCAGCCCCTATATATGCTTATATCTAAATGAGTATCTATATGCATGCACCATGTATGCATGGTGTGTGTGTGTGAGAGAGAGGCACTACTCTTAAAGAACATGAATTTTCCATATTGCATGCTTTTATGAAAATCAGTATTGTTGTTGTTTGTTTGTTTTTGTTGGTCATGGGGCCTGAACTCTGGGCCTGGGCGCTGTCCCTCAGCTATTCAGCTCAAGGCTAGCGCTCTACCACTTGAGCCACAGCGCCACTTCTGGCCTTTTCTGCTTATGTGGTACTGAGGAATCAAACCCAGGGCTACATGCATGGGAGGCAAGCACTCTACCAACTTCCCAGCCTTTCAGTGGTGTTTTATTAGCTGATTGTGCACACTGTCAGCCATGGAAGCCTACAAGTTTGCTTTCCTTACATGTCTGGCTTTATAAATTATTTTGATCCATCTAGTGTGTCAAGGTAATCATTTCTTATTAATGGACTTTTGGCCTGTCGTTAGAAACAAAATTTAAAGGTATCTAAAATTTTGGATCTAGTTGTATGATTGGCATGCCATATGCTTGCAATCTTAACAATTTTAATGCACAAATGGTAATATGCTCAAAAACTAAAAAAATCCAACATAGAATTCCAAGCTATCTGTTATACCATATTTTGGTGACCATCCTTGTTTCTCAAGAAGCTATAAGGTACTTTTTCTATTCATTTTATGTTATTGATAGCCTTGGCCTTTGAACTTAGGGCCTGGATGCAGTCCCTGAGTGTCTTTTGCTCAAAGCTTAGTACTCTATCACTTGAGCTAGAGCACCACTTCCAGTTTTTTTCTGAGTAGTTATATTGGAGATAAAAGTTTCATGGCCTTTCCTGCCCTGGCTAGCTTTGAACTGCTACCCTCAGATCTCAGCCTCTTAAATAGCTAGGATTATAGGCATGAGCCACCGGCCCTGGGCTTTTTTATTGTTTTTAAACTTCGACAGTCCCTTAGACACCCACTGTCTATATATAATTTGCTTATATATATATATATATATATATATGTATGTATGCTTATATATATTGGGTTGTTTTGGATCACCTGTTTTGTGAGATAGGTAGGTGAAATTACCTTCTGAAATCTATGCTTTCACTGCACTCAACCTCTACAATTATCCTGGGAGCAGATTCATTGGTGTGATATGTGGAACAGATTCCATATCCTGTGCTGTTCTGCTCCCCAATACACTTCCAGACAAGCCGGAAGTGAAAAATGTAAACTACTACAGGTCTCAGTGCACTCAAAATACAAGTAGGAATGAGGAAACTACTAGCTCACAAGTAATTTATGTTATTTTTGGATCATATATGTTGATAGTCCAGCGAGGGTTGAAATCTGAGCTTGGTAGCAAATTTTATGCATTCAATTTTAAAGTCTGTTTACAATTGTTGTTTATATTTAAAGGGCTCGAACAAAAACAGTTTATTCTGCATATAGTCGAAAGTCTGCCAAAGAAGTGAGAGATAAATTGTCAGAATTGCATGTGAACTACTATGTATTAGAAGAAGCATGGTGTGTTGTGCGAACTAAGTGAGTAATAATTCTATACCATGGGAAATGGAATACTGGAAAACCACGTGTTTCTCTTTATTATAGTAGTTCTGGTCCTTAAGACTTTCTATTTTAGAGAAAAAATATATGAAAAATTTACCCTGGTATTTCTGTTAAAATCATTTAAACCAAATAAAGATGTATCATCATGAAAGTAGGTGTAATTTCAAAACAGTGTAACATCTATTAGTATTTTGACTTCTGATTTAAGGTCTTTTCATTAATTTTTTTTCACGAACTCATAAAAACCTGTCCATGTACCGAGACAGTGACTCACACCTGCAATTTTAGCTACTAAGGAGATTGTTAGGCCTAAGAGTTTGTGAGACTCCTCAACAGAAAAGTTGGGCACAATGTTAAGGGCCTGCTGTCCCAGACTCTGTCAAAATATAAATGGGAGGATGAATGTCCAGGCCAGCCCAGGAGCTAGGGGATGCAAGATATCATCTCCAAAATAACGAGAGTTGAAAGGACTGAAGATGTGGCTTAAATGGTAGAGCATCTGAGTAGCAAGCATGAGATGCAGAGTTCAAACCTTAGTACTGGAAAAAAAAAAGTTAACAGGGTCACATGACACTTTGGTACTTGTGTACATGGAGGAATGTTTAAGTCAGAGACACCTGCAGATTTGGTTCCCTGGTGCAAGAGCCACGAGAAATTGAAAAGCAGAATTAAAAAGAACACATTGCAGACCACTGCAGTGTATTACCTACAGTTCAGGCAAAAATGACGAGATGTGCAAAATATACTAGCCTAGTATTACTAATGCTGTGAAGAGAGAGGGAGTTTGTAGACACTGACTTGAGCAGGTCCAGGTCTGGATGTTGGGTTTAGCAGCCAAAGAATATACATAAACATACCCACGGGAATAAGAAGAACATTGCTATAATGTTCCAAGAACTAAGGGACAAGGCCATGGCAAGCAGTAAAGACATGGAGTTCCAGCAGAGAAAGAGAATCAATTGGAACAATTGAAATAAAAGGAATAATTGAAATGAAAACTCTTTAAATATGCAGACAACCAATTTTAGGTGAAAACGGGGAAAATAAGTGAATTTAAAGGTAGATTAAAACAGCAACAGCAACAACAGCAACACAGCCTATTCAAAGAAAAAAGGTGAAAAGGGCTGAAGAAAAATTGCAATGATTCTAGGACCAGCCTTAAGTCATCCAATACACCAAAACTTCTAATACTATAAGGAATTAAAAGAAAAGAAAAATGGAAGTGTGGGTCAGATACGTCTCAAGGTTGCTAAAAGCTATTGGTGAATGATCCACTAATGTGTAATGGATGTGCCCAGAGAAAAAGCGTAACAAACACCACAATCAAAGTGGTGAGAGGAAAGATAAAGTGGAAAGGTGGAAATAGCAAAGAGTCCTGAATTGCACCTGGCTACTCACTGGGGGTACTGGAAATCCACAGACTTTGGAATGTTGAGTGGGGGGGGGACCCAAACTGAGCTGGAGGCATGGTCCAGGTGGTAGAGCACCCACCTTTCCCTGAGTCCAGCTTGTGTATGGTGTTTTGGAGAGTGGAGGAGGCAAGCAGAGCACTGAGAGCTGTGCTGGACCTGGAGAACTGAATAACCTGACCTTTATTGCATTATATCTCAGTGAAGATGGAACAATTAAAACCCATTTTTGGTGACTCTCTGCTAGGCAGTGTCTCCTTTGGCCCAATTGGGGAGACACCCAAAAGAACAAAGCAGGAAAGCCAGCAAGCTTGGCATGAGAATCTGCTTTTGCTCCATCAGACTATATATTTTTATGCTAATTCAAGGCAATTTATCCTCAGAAATAGGGTATCCATCAGGAATTCAATGAGCTTTGCTTTTAATTCATCTCCTTCAACTACAAATATGTTTTATATTTAGATGGCAACAGTGCTTGGGAAATACATTTATTTGTATTTCATCTTGAGAGCAAACTTTCAGTGAATGCATATTAACTCTTAATGATGAGGACAAGGCACTTCCTTTGGCTAAGTGGGGTATGAAAATACTGCGAACACAATTTCATTTCATTTTTCCATCTACATATGAACTTGATTCTTGAAAGGATGCTTTAAAATTTTTTATTTATTAAATAAATGAGTCCCTGGAAATTTAGAAGTCAGCTTATAAATTATGTATATGAATGTGTCTTTTAATTTTGTTTTTGAGTTAGCATACATAAATAATACAAAGAGATTTTATTGTGATTTTCCATGTGTGCATGCAGTGTAGTTTGAACAAATTTACGCTTCTCACCACCTCCTTTACAGGTAGTGTTTAGTGGGTCTTCAATACACACATATAATTTATATATGTATATGTACATGGATGCACGAGTGCATAACACATATGTACATATGTGTAACGTATATATAATAATATACATATATTTGAATGTTGTGTGTGTGTGCCAGTCCTAGGACTAGCTAGAGCTAGTGGTAGACTATATCTCTACCACTTGAGCCATAGCTCCACTTCCAACTTTTTGGTGGTTAATTGGAGATGTGTCTCACAGACCTTTTTTGCCCAGGCTGGCTTCAGACTTCAGCCTTCTCAGTAGCTAGGATTATGGGCATGATCCACTGACACCCAGCTCTGAATGTGCTTTTTTAAAATGAACATGTCTCTGTCTGCTTGCGTTCAGGCCTGGGTGCAGCATGCTTGAGATCTGGGATGTGGAGGACCCGTCCAACGCAGCCAAGCCTCCCTTGTGCAGCCTCCTGCTGAAGGACTCCAGGCCCTACTTCACCACTGTGTTCCAGAATAGCATGTACAGAGTGCTGAAGGTCAACTGAAGGACAGCTGGGCTGCCCTGGCTCTGTGGTGTGAAGAAGTGGGTCAACAGCTAGCATTTTGGCCTTATTTTCATGACTAGAAATCACAAGCTTTAATAAGAGACATTTAAGAGAATATAATAAAATGATTTAAAGTTGTTCTGATTACACTAAACATGGTAAGCTCACTTCATTGTTTGGCACTAAAGGTCAGTCTTATGAAGCTTGTTGTACAAGTAATCATTTCATGCTGCAAAACAAATGTGCCTTTTAAAAGTTTTAACGAGACCTGTATGGGAAAGAACAATGGAATTGAACAAATCAGGGGAATATAATTCCTTTCAATCCAACTCAGTGAATTGCTGTAGTTTTTCTCTAGTTCAGAGAAGCCCTTTGGTCCCCATAAACAGAAGAATGCAGAATGTGAATGCTCTAAGATGGATCCTGATTACAAACCCTCTATCTCTGTCTACCAGGAGTCTGATCAAGAAGTTATCCTTACCAGCTTATCCCACCTCCCCACCTTGCCCCCCAGAAAGCTCTTCAATAGCTTTTAATAATTTCTTCAAGTGTTTTTTTTTAAAAAAAAAAAACAACTAACTTGCTTTGTAATGCTTTGAATCTCTTGAAATTTGTCTACCCAACCAGATAATTTTCCCAACCTAAGCTCCACAAGAATGAATCTGTCTTTAGAATCCTGTGGTTTGGTGTCCCTTGACTTTCCAGGTAGAATGAAATTTCTAGGGTCTCTAACCAAAATTTGAAGTTAAACATAATCAGAAAAGAAAATCTAGTTACTTGAATCCAAGAAGAATTTTGGGGTCCAGAGCTATAATTTATTCATCATGATGGTCTGTGGCTCTCTTAACACTATCTTTAGTCCCACTCCCATTTTTTTGTAAGATGTTTTCAAGTCTTGCTTTATTTTTAGTTTTTCATGAGGAAGGTCATGTTTTAGAAACTGTCTCTTCCAATAAAACCAACCCATCGACAACATTTTGAAAAATTGGTAAATAGTTGTCTTAAAGATGGAATTGCTGTCAAGTAACATTCTGTTTGTATGCCTGACAAATATTAAATATGACAGATGTGTAATATTTGATTGTGCTTCTACTCTTAAGTTAGTCATTTTGGGATCTTTTTACTTACACATTCCTGATTCTTGGCCCTTTTCATTTGTTAAAACAAAATGACTTAATTCCATAAGTTGGTTTATACACAGTAGTTAGATAATCATATACAGAAAAAAATTGTTTTTCAGCTTGTATAGCTGTAAAATACTTTAACTCAAGACACAAAACAGCGAAGAAAGCATGTCATATTCTATTTATTTTTTTTAGCATTTTCAATTATTTATCTTGCTGTAAGTGTAAAGCAGAAAACAACAAACACCTAAAATTTGTAAAAATGAAAGCAATACATTCTGGATGATGTATTCATAGGGAATATTTTAATATCCATAGCAAAATTCAACAAAGAGACAAACTATGACTACTGAAATGTGCCGTACTCACATGTTTTTATGTGCATTTTTGCTATTTTCCTATACTGTGTATATTAAATAATTTTAAAACTACTTGAAGAACCCTCCGTTTTCTGTCTTCTCTCACTCTGCCAAGCATCCATGTTGCCATTGAAAGAACTCTGATGTGAAGGCAGAAATCCTGAATTGCTGGACTTAGGAGCCAGCTTTGATTTTTCTTAGCTCTTGAATGCCGTTCTGCAGTCTGGCAGAGGAGGCCCTGCCCTGTGATGGAGAGAGCAGAGGCCACTTTCCAGTTGTGGGGAGGACACCTTCTGTGAGTGTTTGACCACGGAGCTTTGAGGGCTTTATGCCTATGAGCCTTGACTCTCCCTATCCACGTCTAGTGCTTGTGGGGCTTGGGGATCGGTGATCAGGTGATCGGTGATCTCAACAAATTCTAGTTCCTTCCCCTTCGCCCTCTCTGGTCCACTGAACAACCCTGGAGTAGTACCGCACCCCACAATGAGGTCGGCCAATCTTGGGGTTCTGTGTAGCTGGGTTTATCTGGTGTCACAAACTGGAATACTAGACATCAGCTTTCTTTTATCTAAATTAAGCAATTACTTTCGTTTTCTGAATGGACATTATTATTTTTTATCCTTTTGAAGGATGAAGACCATGCCTGAATTCAGTGGCATCTTTACCCCCCATGCAAGGAAGCATTTCCCCCTGATTTCCCATAACCCCGGTGTGCCTGTCTGTCACTATGAAACCATGGGCAGAGGTTGCAGGCCAGGAGGCAGTGATCACCCCTCGGCTGTGGGTAGAGGATGCGTGGCTGCAGTCAATACTATGTGTGCTCTCTCACACAGCCAGTGGACACAACACCCCTCCCCACCCTGAGTGAGGCAAGTTTCATGGCCCACACCACGGTTTGAACTCAGGACGTTCTCTGCCTTACTTGGCTGGTACTCTACCACTTAAGCCAGGCCAGCAGCCTGGGTTTTTGCTGACTCTTTTAGAAATGAAGTCTTCTAGACTCTTCTGCCTGGGCTGGCTTGGAGGCAGCTTGGTCTGTTCCACAGCTTGGATACCATGTCAAGCATTTGTCCGCATTGTATTGGCAGGCACACCATCATGGCAGTCAAGGTACCAGATCTGCCTCACAGTCCAAATGCTCTCCTCACTCAGCTCTGCCTCCCTTTCCCCATCCCCTCTGAGCATTTCACAGCTGTCACCTGTCCTAGTTTGTAATCCACAGGATATGCCTGTCCTGCCTTATGGCTCCAGGTTTAGCGTACTGGGGTGGAGAAATATCCACTGAGAGCAGCAAAGGCTGAGCCCAAACCTTCGAGGCACAGAACAGCCTAGAACCCAACATACCACATTCTCCCTACTACCCCAGCCAGTGCAGCTACTTTTAAGTATCTCCCAGCTGTATTCTAACCACTTTATGATACGGTGATCATAGCCTAGATTATCCCTCCAATTTAACTTAATGATTTGCTGCGCTGTAATTTAAATCAGAGAGGGGGAAAAAAAAAGGTAATAGCCCTGTTCTTTCTGTGTGTTCTTAGTGCCATCTGCTGGTTGTGGTACATTACAACACGTCATGAAATTCCCTGCAGGAATACCAGGGTGCTGGCTTGCAAGTGCTTTAATACAAATACTTGAATAGAAACTTCACGCTTCAGGGGACCGTAGTGGACTCTGTGGGTTACAGGACCATTCATGGCTCTTCTGCCCCTTACCCTGCATCTCTACCCTTTCCTCAGTCTACCACTCTGCTCCAGTCCCCTGGGAAGGTCCTGACTCTTCCTCAGGATTGCAAACACTCCCACTGTCACTGTTGCCCCCTGAGAACCAAGGAAAAATCCCCTTTGCTTTGATTGTTTTCCAGGTAGAGTTTCAATTAATGTTAAGAGGCATGCCTGTACCATGATCATCCTCCTTCCCCTTCTTCCTGCTTCTCCTCCTTCTCCTCCTCCTCTTCCTCCTCCTCCTTCTCTTCCTCTTCCTCTTCCTCCTCCTCCTCCTCCACCACCTCCTCCTCCTTCTTTTCCTCCTTCTTCTCTTCATTTTCCTGGACCCCTTCCTCTTCTTTATCTCTGTTCTTCTTCCTTCCCTTATTCATTCCTCATCATCCTCTTCTTCCTACTCCCCTTTTTCTTCTTCCTCTTTGTAATCTTCCCTTTCTTTTTTTGTCCCCTTCTTCCTCGCCTTCACCTTCTCCTCCCTCTTTTTTCTGTGCAGAAATGGCTTGAATAAAAGACAAAATTATAAATTTAACTAATTCTTTCAATGAGTCTGATTTCATGGCATGCAAAAATAAGCTAGCTCATCTATCTATCTATCTATCTATCTATCTATCTATCTATAGTCATCTATAGCTACATTAGTGAAAAAGATATTTAGTAGAAACAATAAGTATCAGTTGCTTTAATTCATGAAACATGAAAATGATCATTTGCTTAACTCATGTGCAGCACTGTCAGAGCTTGGCAGGTATCTGTGTAGTACATCCCTTCAACATGGCCCTGGAGCTGTGCACCCCTGAGCTCATTATTACGAGTACAAATGACTTCTTAAACAATTCTCTGCCTTCTTACCATTCTCTTTGGAAGAAGAAGATGAAAGTTTAGAATTTTAACAAGGCTTGTTTATACCTTAGGACAGAAGGGAAATAGATCAGCAGGCACCCAGCACACACATTTTCCTGCCCCTTGGAGACCAGCTGAATGGGAGCCCTGGGCTAGGGTGTAATTTATGAGAACAGAGCTACAATCGGCAGGCTTTGCAACACTGCCTGTGCTGAGTTCCAAACACAGCCATCAAACTCGTTAGAGAAGCACTGGCAAGCAAGCCAAAGCAGGCAGCTGGATGCCAAAGCCACCTGTAACCAGCAGGATGTCCTGGACTTGCTGAGCCAAGAGCCAAGCCCTGGAAGCCTGCTCTGGTGAGGCACAGTGGGGGGGGTACGGATGCCTCGGGGAATGGTGCCAGGGCAGGAGACCCAGGCTGGCGGACCTTGTGCAGCGCTTTCCTCATCTCTGGCCTCTGGGGTAGACTTTGGGAATCTTGGGATAATTAGCACATTTAAAAGTCCAGGTTGATCCTCTGAAATGTAATCAGAAGCACATGTTGCTGTTTGAAAATGGAAGTTCTCTCCTATCATTTCTTCTCCTTAGTGAGATCTCAGAACACATATTTTAGGTGGGAATAGAATTGGGGAAAAGTACATGAGAATCAAGAAAGGATTACAGACATAATGTCTAGGCATGTTGATATTATGTAATCTTTTTTAATCTATAATGCTCATATACATTGAACACAAACAATTTAAGGCATAGTGTCTGTGGACCAGGGCTACACTAGGACTCTATGAAAAAAAATTATTCATATGAATGGAAAAAGCAAATAACTGGGGATGGATTGGTGGAAGATTGAAGGCAGGAAGGAATTGGTGGTGAAAATCTAGCAATTACAGCTAATCCTTCTCAAAGGAAATCCAAGTTACATAGCACCTCATTCTAATCAGAATATCACAGTTGACTTT